CTATCTATCTATCTATCTATCATCTATCTATCTATCTATCTATCTATCTATCTATCTATCTATCTATCTATCTATCTATCTATCTATCTATCTAAAAATACAAATTAACATGATTAAAATTATGAAGATCACCAATAACAATAAAATGAGAACAACTAAAATGTTTTCTAACCTACTATTATAAGTCTTCTATTGTTTCTGAACACAGGTTATAACTTACATGCCATTTAGTTTGAATAAGGGCTACATGAACTGAATATCAAAAATATATCATAATATGTATCTACTAATGAAAAACAGGCAAAGTTCTATAATAGGTTAAGATATTCTTTGACATAAAGTAGTTAAAGTACAGTCATCAGTAAAACTTGAGTTCATTTCATGACTGATGAATGGGATTAGAGGAACTGTTCAGAAAACAGTACTGCACAATGTCTGTCTTTGTTTCCTTGTATGTCATCACATCCATGCAGGTTATGGTCACTGAGAGACTTCAGGTAAATCTGCATTTACAGGCAAAACTATTACAGAGAGAGCTCTGACGTGTCATGTGGTTTCCACAGCACCACACCCCTTGACTTTATTCTAAACCACACCTTGTGAAAAACATCAAGATGTTAAAAAAATGTGGAGGATGTGTCAGGTGTCCTAACTGACCCCTCCCTTTCTGTTTAAATAGGGTCAGAAACTGAGCAGGTGTCAGATCTTTACCTGGGAGCCTGTTGGATACGTTGGACACAGAACGCCTGTAGGTCATACCTGACAATAAAACTACTGAGGACTTTTTTAATATCATCCATCTTTTGCATTGAASACAAGCAAACTTACAGGTAGGCAAAAACCACTAATGCTTTAAATTTATTTTCAATTTTTGTTGCTGCACACCTGGATAATATTAATTAGGGTAGTTAGATAAGTAATTATTGAAAGCAACAGCTAATTATTTTATGTACAATATTGTGAATTTCTCTTTATAGTACTAACACTTTTACTTATTTATGTTATTAGAAAATGGCTTTACCACAATGACTTAGACACTTTTATTGAATTGTTTTAAATATTGGTCAAATTTTGTTTTTTTAATTATAAAAGATTTAACAACAATTTTAACAAAGTTTTGTTTCAGTCTCATATGTATTTCATTTTAGGTCTTCTCACTTTTCACTATTTATATTTATATGTATTTAAAATATTTCAAATGTGAAAGTCTAATTATTATTTTGGCATAGTATCAGTTTAGAAAAAAAATACAGTATTTTATCTGTGTGAAGCTAAAATTGACAAACCTATCAATAAAACAAGTTTTTCCTCTCCTTTAGCCATGGATAACCGATTGTTCCTCGGCCTCCTCTTTGTGACGCTGTCTTGGGGATTAATGGGTACCTTTGCTCAGAATACAACCGCTGCACCAAATGCAACAGCAAATGCCATAGGAAATACCATAGGAACTACCGTAGGAAATACCATAGGAAGTGGTTCAACAATTCCAGCTGCAGCTACCAATATGACAGCATCTGTAGCAATGGCAACAGCAGGAAACATGACGATGAACACCGGGGCAATGACGACGGCAGGAAATATGACGATGAACACCGGGGCAATGACGACGTCAGGAAGCATGACGATGAACACCGGGGCAATGACGATGGCAGGAAACATGACGATGAACACCGGGGCAATGACGACGGCAGGAAATATGACGATGCACACCGGGGCAATGACGACGGCAGGAAACATGACGATGAACACCGGGGCAATGGCAACGGCAGGAAACATGACGATGAACACTGGGGCAATGACGTCGGCAGGAAACATGACGATGAACACCGGGGCAATGACGTCGGCAGGAAACATGACGATGCACACCGGGGCAATGACGACGGCAGGAAACATGACGATGAACACCGGGGCAATGACGTCGGCGGGAAACACAACAATGACCACTGTGGCAATGACGTCGGCAGGAAGCATGACAAATGCTACAGCAGCAACCAATGTGTCACTCATTCCAGTGGGAGCTCTTCAGGTGATAAATGCAAAAATTAAAAAATAATATTTTGAGTAGTGTCACTTCTTTCATATAATGTTTAAAATTCATGACTCAAATGTTTACTTTCCCCTTACAGACACCGATTTCTAGGACAAACTGTGGCATCTCAAAATTGTGCGTATCCGTCCCCTTAACATGTGACCCTGCTACAGGAGCCGGATGCTCTTTTATTTCTGTCCAGCAGCAGAGTGGTCAGTTRTACGACTTTGAGGCCTCAGGAGAAACAAGTGGCTACATTGCTACTGGAGTGTCAACTTCTACCAKTGTGGTAAATCATAGTGCACCATTCTAAATGAAATCACTTTAAAATTTAAACCTAAGCCAGAGTTTAATTGAAGACATCATCTTAAGTAACATCTAATATTCTGTTTTACTACACAGAATGACACTCAGCAAGCCTACGTCTGCGCAAACCACAAAGGAGCTGTGAGATTCTTCACAGCCACCATCACCAATTTTGAGCTGAATTTGACAAAGGTGAAATGCATTTTCATGGCAATAGTGGTAGGGTGGGTGCACGTAAAGTAACGTTTACTGTAACTTAAAATGTTCCATATTCTCTGTGCAGTTTGTTCATCTGTTTTCCTCTTCCAGTTGAATGTAAGCAATGTACTGGGTGCAGTCAATGCAACAAAGATCCAGTGCAAGTTTGCGGCCACACTACCAGATACAACAGCTCGAGCAGCAGATTACTCAGTGTCATTWGCAAATGGAACCTACGACCCTGGTAAGCACCACCCATTGCACCKGTAACATTTATCTAGAGTCACAGATCATAAAGAAAATACTAATTTATATTGCATGTCAGTGATACTTTTGTCTTTTTTATGTTCCTTAAGCTACTGGAACATTTGGACGAGCCAGTTTCCTCATATTCACCAGCATATTAAACCTGTCAAATCCTAATTCCACTACCAATCAGACAAATAGCGCATATCCAGCCACATACCACCAATCACTAATCCCAGGTAAGAATAAGACATACTTGACCAATTATTTTTATTATTTTTTTACTGTTTGATTGAATTAAAATAAACAAGTATCAACAACATCCTAAAAAGCTTTATCTTTTTGTCTTCTCTTACCTACAGCTCTGCTGGTCACTGCGGTCATGCTGCCTTTCAGCATGCTGTAAAGGAACAGACTTCTGTCAGGCCTCAATAAGAATATGTGACTTTTCTATTGATGCCAAGTTGTAGCTGCRAAAAAGTGTTGAGGCTTTCAGACCAGCTGGGTCAAATAGGGCAATGTTTCTTTTTTAACATATTTTACTACCTTTGATGACYCTGAACCCATAAGGAAAATGAATGAAGCAGTAAAGAGTTAGAAAAGAAGTTTCTTTTTTCAGGATGCGTTACTGTTTATATAAATGTAGGGTTTGAAGGTCTGGTTACCTTTCATGCCCTTGAAAATATTTTTTTGCTAAAATATCAGTTAWTTGTTTTTGCACGTTAAAAGATACATTTGTTCTCTATATCTGTTTAATCATCAAGATGATGATTTGATGCCTTGTGTGTTTTAAAACTTTTATATGTACATTTTCTCACACAAGATAGTAATTAAAATGTCTGTCATGAATACTTTCCATATTTTATATAACATTTTTTTTYCCTGGTGGTAACAACTGATTGTACCAAATAAAAAAGGAAGCTTTCCCTGGCTGATGATTTTTGTGAAGCGTGATATTTGTAAAAAAATGTTTCTTGATAACAAAAACTGGTGAAAGTAATGTACATTTGCACATATTGTAGCAATTTATATTTTAATAAATGAACTAAAATAAAAACTTTGTGTCWATGTGTTTTCTCATTAATTATATAACAACATTTTTACCAGAGAAAAAAATAAGCAAAGTACATTTTCTTGTTGCTTCAACACAGTGAATTTTCTATACTTTGTAGATTTCTATGTAACTACCAGTATTTAAAAATTACATTTTTAATTGAGCATGTTTTATCTCAGTAACTCTACTTGGCTACATTTAAAATACCGTTTATTATTGAGTAAAATATGAACACAAAACTGATTTAAAATCAGTAGAAGAAAAAAAAGCATGTATTAAATCTGTTGCAAAGGAGCGTGGCCTTTAATTTTGTTCAATAGTGAACTGGGGTGGGCAATTCTGGTCCTCGAGGGCCGCTTCTCTACATGTTTTACTTTTTTCCCTGCTCCAACACACCTGATTTAAAAGAATGGGTGATTATCAGGCTAATGCAGAACTTGGAAGAGRTAATTCAATGACTGAATCAGGTGTGATGGAGCAGGAAAAAAAGTAAAACATGCAGGGCTGCGGCCCTCGAGGACCAGGATTGCCCACCCTATACAATATACAATAAATTGCCCACCCTATACAATATACAATAAATAGTTTTTAAAAAGCTTATATACTGTACATAATAGTTTGGGCATTTCTGTTAACCAAAGAAATACAATGAATTTATTCACCTGAACTCCTACTTTATCATTGTCTGATCCAAAACTTGACAGACATGCACTTGTTGGCACAATACCTGTTAACTTTGTTCAACAGCTCCACTGGAACTTTAAAGTGGTGTTTTGCAAAACCAACTTGCATGCTTTTTAGTGTGAACCCTATGAGACAATCTCCAAATTGATGGCTGAGTTCCGCATAACAGGGGATATCAAAGAAGATTGTTTTCTCACCCTGTCAGGACTGTAGCCTGTCTCCTTCAGATTTGTAGTCAAGGTTTACAAGATGAATTGCCGACAGGCCCGGACAATGTCAAACAAATTGCACGCAGCAATCCGGTCTCATTAGAAAACCAGAAAGTCTGCCATGACYGTTCTACACCCTCAGGCCCATTTGCACTTGGCAACACATGCACTAGAACTTGAACATCTGGAGGAATGAAAAGTCCAGATTCTGCCTGCGGCAGTTAAGCTGTCGGGCAGACGTGTCAAGAAGACAACTAGAATGCTATGCTGATTGCTGCTAGAGTAATAGTTTYAAACAAGTTTTAAAGTAGTTTAAAAAGGCATTAAAGTAAAAATATGTCCTAAAAAGTTGGTAGAGGGGTTTGAAAACTGACAAAGTCRCCAAGTTGACAACACTAKTCACAGTGCTGGAATCCTKTGTTGTTAATTTCCCTTCCCCTTTGTGCTGGGTCTAACAGCTTAGGAGAAACAGACTGTGAGGTGAGAGAAAGAACCCCCCACCCCCCACCCCCCAAAACAATGCAGCATGTGCTTGTGTATCTGTACTTGTCATGCCATCGTTAGCAATACYGTTACTGGTTCCACGTGACTAATTTTGATCGGTCAAAATTGAACCGGTCAAAATTAATCACATGGAACTGGTGMTGAAAAAATACTGGGTTTCAGTACCATCCCTAGCCTTAAWGAACTCAAATCCTGGTTTTCTTCTAACTTTGTGGTGGTTCTGGGGGATGTCTTCAGGTGGCTGCATGTGGGTCCTCGCGTGGTCTGTAGCGGCGGTCATGGGTCGCTGATCCGGTGGCCTGGYTGTGCTGGGGTGGGTTCGAGGTGGGTGCGGGGGGTTTAGYGTTCTGGGGTCGTGCCGCCCCTGGGCTGTGGTCCTGGTGGGGCTTGGGGGGCTTGAGTCCTTACGGGCGTGTTGCCGAGCTCTGGGGTGGTTTGTGCCCTGGTGCCCAGCCCTGGGCTGGGGGCCTTCRTTGTGCTGGTGGGCTGCAGGTCTAGTGGGATGGGGGTTGGGTTGGCTGGGGGCAGGGCCGGTGGCCCGTGGGATTGGGTAAATTGAGCTAGCTGGAGTGTCTACTGTGCTATATGTTCTGAGAGTTGTCCGAATGTTGGGGTGGGTGTAGTGTTTCTTCTGGGGTGGGGGTTGTGTAAATGGCCTTTGGTGGCGGCCGGGGGCTGTGCTGGGTCAGCTGGTTGACCCCTTTGTTGTGGCGAGGGTTTGCTCTTGGTGCCTCCTTGCACTGTCGGCGGCTGGGTGGGCACTCTCAGCTGAATCTTCCTTGCTGGGGTTCGGTGGCTTCTTTGGGTTGCTGGCTGGCTGTGGGGCTGGGGGTCTGGATGGCTCTGGGTTGGGTGGACTGTTGGGCCCAGTTTCTGGCGGTCCTCTGGGCTCTGTCCATTTGAGGTCTGGGGCTCCCCGGGCCTGGTGGTCTGTCTGGAGGAAGAGGTATTGGGACCTCACTCCCTGGGTGGGTCTCAGGAAGCAGGGTGCCTACCGGGATCAGCGGGGGGAGCTGACTCCTTTTGGGAGCTTTTTTCTCCCCCAGTCATGTTTTCTCCCCATCCCTCACCACTTACCTCCACCCTTGTCATTTTCAACTCCACTCATGTAGAGTTTTTGGGGYGCAGGCGYGTTACAAGGAGCAACARTTTTACATCTCYGTTTGCCATGGCCACCTGGGCCCCAATTTTACTGTACACCCTAGATATTCACTTATAACATCCTCATGACATTCACATATAGGAACTTGGGGGTGGTCACTATTATAGCATATAAGGGGTGAAATGGTACCACACTCGCTGCTGATGCCTGTGCCCACTCCCAATGTTTGCTTGTAGATATTTAGGGTTTTGGGTTAGAGTTGGGGTGGAGGGAAMACTGGAACCATGCCGGCCTCTGCCCCTTCTTCTTCCCCATTTTAATTACACTATAGAACAACATGCATCAATAGCACATCTGAGGATGTGTGTGTGTGTGTGTGTGTGTGTGTGTGTGTGTGTGTGTGTGTGTGTGTGTGTGTGTGTGTGTGTGTG